CAGGCCGCAATTGCAGGGTGGATGTTATACACTCGACTTGGTCTTGTGTTCATTGCACCAATGGGACTTGTTATACTTTGCTTTTTCGGCTTGGCAATCCTAATGAATTTTGCTGGAGATTCGCAGAGGACTTGGATGTCGGGCGTTCAGAAACGTGTCGGTTTAACGGCCACAGTCATCGTCAGCATGAAGAATTTGAAGATATCTGGACTCTCTGGCACCGTCAGTAACTTTGTACAGAAACTTCGAGTTGAGGAATTGGCGGCCGGAGCACGATTTCGCAAAATCTTCATCATTGCGGCGCTTTTTGGCTTTATCCCGATGCTGATTGGTCCACCGCTTACCTTTGCATTTACTTCGAAAACACTAGATGCTTCAAAGGTGTTTACGAGTCTTTCTTTTCTTACGCTTCTCACGGTTCCTTTGTCTCAAATATTTAAATCGACTCCAGATCTTATCTCTGGGCTAGCCTGTCTCGGACGTATTCAGGCCTTTTTGGAGTGCGAGAATCGCCATGATTTCCGCAAAGTACTGACTGACAGAAAACTGGACGCAGATGAACCCAGGACTGATACTGTAGCTTCCTCAAACTCGGAAGTAGACTCGGCGCCTCCTATTGTTATCCAAAATGGAAAGTTTGGTTGGGAAGAAGATACTTTCGTTTTACGAGACGTGTATGTTGAAGTACCAAAATCCTCGCTCACGATTGTTGTTGGACCCATTGGGTCCGGAAAATCTACGCTCTGCAAGGCATTGCTTGGAGAGATTCCTTTCAGTCAAGGTAGTGTGTCTTTGAGCACTAGATTTCCCCACGTTGGATTCTGCGAACAAGCAGCGTTTCTCTATAACGGGACGGTCAGGGACAACATCATAGGATTTTCTCCTTTCAATAGTGAGAGATATGCTGAAGTAATCAATGCTACCTCACTAGTCTTTGATCTAGCTACACTCCCACTCGGAGATCAAACAAATATTGGATCCGATGGAATCATTTTGTCAGGAGGTCAAAAGCAACGTGTTTCTCTTGCGCGAGCCCTATATCTGCAGTCTGACCTACTGGTACTAGACGATGTATTCAGTGGTCTAGATGCGGATACTGAGGAAAAGGTATTTCAGCAGGTCTTCGGTGCTAATGGACTACTACGAAAACGACGCTGTACGGTGGTGCTTTGCACTCATAGCGTCAGACATTTACCAGCAGCAGACTACATTATCACACTTGGAGAAGGTACAATTGTTGAGCAAGGTGGTTTCAATGAGTTGATGAGGAAACAAGGTTATGTTCAACGTCTCGGATTAAAGGATTCTTCTGATAGCGAGGATTCGTCGGAGGATATAACGCTGAAAGAAAGTATCCATCGATCGGAGCCACATGTGCTGGAGGCGAAGAAGACGGCTGAAACGTTATCCCTTGAACCGGAAGCAGATAAATCTCGTCAGGTGGGTGATGGAACGGTATACAAGCACTACTTTTTGAGCATGGGCTGGTTTTCAGCAGTGTGTAGTTTGTTCTTTGCTGCTCTTTGGGGCTTCTTCACTAATTTCCCTACAATTTGTAAGTTGGTTCTACTCATGAATGATGAGATTTCAATCACCTTGCCACGTTAGGCTAAATCACTAGAATCCTTTTCAAACGACAAAGCTTCATAGCACTAATGTCACAAATCGCAGGGCTCGATTATTGGACTGACAACACTTTCTCTAAATCTCACGCTTACTACGCTGGAATATACGCTCTGCTTCAAATTAGCGGTCTTTTCTCATTACTTTTTCTTGGCATCACACTATTTATCGTTTCTGTCAAAAGAGCAGGTGCTAAACTTCATCACGATGCTTTGCGAACACTTATACGAGCGCCGCTGCGATTTTTTACAAAGACAGATACCGGTGTTGTCACGAACCTTTTTTCTCAAGATCTCAATCTTATAGATACGGAGTTGCCAGATGCAACGCTGAATACTTTGTTTTGTGTAGGTTTCCCTTGCATCTTGACGTCGTCAAAACCCTCGGAATGAAATTCATTTGTGCTGTCGTCTAACGCGAATGTTTTAGGTGTTTCAAGCAATCGGACAAATGGCCGTTATGCTTACTTCGTCTGTGTACTTGGCTATAAGTTACCCGCTTCTGGGTGCTTTGCTTTATGTCGTGCAGCGATTCTACCTGCGAACGTCTAGACAGCTTAGATTGCTAGATCTTGAGGCGAAAAGTCCTTTGTAGTAAGTTTGGCGCCAAAATATTCTCGCTTGATAGGTTGTTATGCTCATGCTAATTTATGGTTTAGCACGCATTTCCTTGATACTCTTAGGGGAATTGCGACACTGAGAGCTTTTGGTGAGTAACGTCTAAACTCATGAGACAAAGAGTGGATTTTGAATAGTTTTGCAAAATTCTGTATCAAGGAAAGTCGTTGTTGCTAATGTTTAAACCAATTAGGTTTTGTTTCCAATGACGTCCAAAAGAATGCTCGTCTAATCAACGCTAGTCAACGACCCGCCTATTTCCTGCTCATGATTCAAGAATGGCTAAACCTTGTTCTTGATCTCGTAGTCATGGCAATGGCGGTAGTGGTGACAACACTTGCTGTACGCCTTCACTCCGATTCTGGTTTTGCCGGTGCTTCTCTATACACACTTATTAGTTTTGGAGAGAATCTTTCGGGTATTGTTACTTATTATACTAGGCTGGAAACTTCTATTGGAGCAATCGCTCGACTGAAAATCTTTAATGAGAATGTTACTCCGGAGGATAAGGATGAAGAGGATATTGTTCCTCCTGAACAGTGGCCTCATAGTGGCGTGGTTGAATTGAAGGGCATATCTGCAGGTTACGAGTAAGAGATGAAAATCGCAATGGATGCAATGTCTATTATTGAGTAAAGCTAATATCTTTAACAGTGTAGAAGATACAGCCGACAGCACACCCAACTTAGCTCTTCGTGATATCAATCTCACCATCGCATCGGGAGAGAAAATCGCGATTTGTGGCCGTACCGGCAGCGGAAAATCCAGTCTCATCGCGCTCCTCCTCAAACTCCTCGACCCCACTCCAGAAACCGCCGCAAACGCAATCATCGACAACATACCACTTCGCTGCATCGACCGAGCCTCTCTCCGTCAGCGCATCATTGCCGTTCCCCAAGAAGCAGTCTTCCTCCCCGATGGCACCACCTTCCAAACTAATCTCGATCCCTCCCACATCTCCACCCCCGCGGAATGTCGCGCCGTACTCGAAACCGTAGATCTCTTGTCCTTTATCGAAGAACGCGGTGGTTTGGACGCGGGCATGAATGCGTCGACTCTCAGCGCAGGACAGCGCCAACTTTTTTCTCTCGGCCGCGCGCTTCTGAGGAGGAGGATCCGTGCGAGGAATTTGGGGATCGGAGGGGGTGGGGATGATAAGGGGATTTTGTTACTAGATGAGGTGAGCTCGAGTGTGGATCTGCAGACGGAGAAGGTCATGGCGGGAGTTATTAGAGAGGAGTTTGGGGGGTATACGGTGGTGGCGGTGAGTCATCGGCTGGAGATGGTGATGGATTATGGGAGGGTGGTGGTGATGGATCGGGGGGTGGTGGTGGAGGTGGGGTGTCCGGAGGTGCTGGCGAGAGAGGAGGGGAGTAGGTTTGGGGAGTTGGTTAGGGCGGCGGGATAGGGGGTTGTGAATAATTTGGAGGGGATGTTTGGGATTTTTGGGGATAAGGAGTGGGAATGTTGGAGTTTGAATGGAGTATTTGGGGGGCGAAACTTGGGGTGGATGGTATGAAGAAGTGGCGGTGTTATTTTTGCTCTCCTTACATAGTAGGAGTAGAATAATAAATTTTCGATGTCAATACAACTTTCTAAGTTTCTTCAATGTGGAGATGATTGAAATATCGAGTGTTTTCTGTACGAAACCATCGGGATCATGAATGGCGCAGACAAAAATGACTAATATCTCAATGTGAAATTCCAAATATTGAAGTACTTGGTCACTATCTCATATCTATTGATTTGTATCAGTAATTTATCCAGTCTAGAGAACATACCAGCTCGTGTGGATGGATATATTTTACCGAGCTTTCTTATAGTTAGCGCAAGAGCTAGTAGGATATCGTGTTAAGAACTTTTGCTTATATTAAAAGGGGTTTCTTAGTATTTACTAACTGAAGGAGTTGGTTTGATTCTTCTTCTGTAAGGATTTGTAATAATTAGATGGGTAGGTACGATATGTTATTTTAATGCTTCGCCGATGATGATATGTAGATTAATATCGGGAATATCTTTATCATTGGTTTGGATATGATATTTGAATGTTCTCTTGCAATGAAGATTCTATACAGTCGAATAGCTTTCTTCGTTAGGTAGTGGTTGTTATCTTTGACTTTGAGAATTTTTGTAAGTGTTAAGCCGGAATTGCAACATCTTTTTGTGTCATTTTAGTGGAATTTTGTATCATGAAATTAAAGTAGAAGTTTCATGCACAGATTCATCGAGTCTGTATTTTGTTCTTCATGTTATGGGTATTATGGTATTTTTTATTTGGGTGTAGAAGAATTTTGGAGAGTTCGCGGAATTTGATGATATTTGTGGCTTTTAGGAAAGAGATGAGGATAGATTCCATCACTATATTTCAATCAAAGCGGAATACATAATATTGGTATATATATGGAGATATGAGTGTTATTTCTGGCCCGAGAGTTGAGCGGTGATTTGGGTGTCGCTATTTGGTTCAATATTCTCGATGGTAAGGGTCGAGTCATTGTAAAAGGGGAAATCACAGGCAAGCTAGCTATGGGAATTATTCAAATTAAACAGAAATAGATATTCATGCCACAAGCATCACCCCGTATCTCTCAATGCAGGACCATAATACTAAAACCCGCAATATCTCAATACTTCAACTATTTGTACGTCACCAATGCCACAAGCCACAGCACCAATCCACCTAGCCCACCTAATAAAAAAGTAAAGCACCATCGATATAACAAATAATTTATATGTATTACCTCCCACATTCACATAAGACTATGATGTCTCCGGAACAGGTTTCTCCAAAAAAGCACAGAGGTTCCCAACCATTCTTGGGGAGAGAGAACTCAAGAAGTCTTCCCGAAGCAAGTTTTCTGATATTTTCATTGTGAGCGAGGAATCCTGCACGGAGAGCAACGCGATCTTCTGGGTTGCCATTAGACCAATCCGCGAGTCCGGCGAGAAGAGTTGACGGAATGGGAGAGCTTTCTATCATAGGTAAAATTAGTTAGTGAAAAATCATTGATTCTTGCTCGATGGTTGCGAAAGCTGGAGATTCACGAAGTACGTACTGGTAAGAGGAGTCGCGAATGTATAATCGCGTACATTGAGCTCTCAACCGATGCGATCCATTTATCTGGATCCCGGGTTGTCAAGACGACTTTCGCATCGGGGTACGCGAGTAGATGTTCTTCTGAAAAATTCACAGCGGGCATGTCTGTGGTAGCCTGGTGATTACTTTAGCATGTATCAAAATACAAGATATCTTTGAGGATAAAACTCGCAATAAATCCAGTAAGTATCTTATCAAATTACTCGCGACCAAAAGATTTTCCATTTCCATTCAACTTTGCATCGACTGCTTCGAGCCATAATGGTATAAGTCCTTCCGTGGGCGCCGCAACTCGACAATGATACGTTTTGTAGCCGAGCTTATTGAGCGCTTGTTGGAGTGCTGAGATTCTTAGTTTTGTGAGTTGGAGATATAGTGATGGTGAGACGATCACGTTGTGGAAGTATGAGAGAGTCCCAGACAGAGAACTTGCATGTCAAGTTCTCGTTTTGTGATGGGGGCAGGGTATCGATTTTTCGAGGATGGGAAGTCATCCTTGTGTTGTTTTTAGTAATGGATTGTGCTGGTTATGAGGTTTGTGAGATTCTTTGGGGAGGGGTTGTTTGTTGAAGTATTGAAATATTTCGTAGTCAGTGGTAAGACTACCTATATGAATAGGCAACTGAACGAACGGAAATGGATCCGTGTCTCGCTCGGGATAGTCGATCTGCAGCGTGGAGGTGGCACAGTGAATGGGATGATGCCATCTCTCTCTAATGATTAGTCGAATATAGCCACTATTAATGCGGCACAGCCCTATCAGATGGCATTTAATGGAAGTGCGAGACGGCTTATACTGTTACGCAAAGCTTAGATTAGGCTATGTTAAATTGCCCATTCACCGTTAATTATGGCTTGATATCTTGTGGACCTGACATTCCTGATGATGATCTCCCAGGTGCAAAAGTTACCTAGATAGACCAAACAAGTCAGCCTTGGCAAACTCTATATCCTTTATGCTGCATAGGATTGCGGGGTATATTGTGATTCAGAATGAAATGAATCTTATTTAAAACTTAGTTATAGTTGATTAACCTCATGGGTACAAGTCCATAATCTGGCGACTCGAAACCCCCAATCTCGTCTACGAGAGGGAGCATTCCAAATTATATGTCACGCCGAGTAAAAGTCGTTTGCACCTACACATGCGATTTATCGTATGGCGGTAGCACGAGCATCATCAATTAGTATATCACCGTGTATGATGCCGCAAGTTCTTCACGTTGATTAGTTATTCCATAAGGAGATACTAGATGACATATATCGGTTGCAGGAAGGTTGATGAATGGTAGAATTCACTTACGGAGATGTAGAATCTAAATTCAGGCCGTACAAACAAGAAACTGCATCAATAATCAGGCTTAGATATTTGATTAGTCCAAGGACTTCGCTTATTCGACTTTCGGCAGGGACTCAAATACAAAGAAGAAGTTCTTGCGATCTGATCATGGCTTTCTCATTAGACAAAACGATATAAGAAAATGACTCCCTAGGTAGTCACGGGGGCCACTACCTCCTCATAATCTCAGAAAAGACAATCTAAGAATTCGAAGAAAGAAAACCCCCCAAAATCTAATCACTACTACTATCGAAGAACTCCCCCGGCTCATTTGAATGAAAGATCTCATTCAGACTCTCAAAATTCGAAGTCAATTTTGTCTCCACACAGGTCTTAGTGAACATGGCATCATTGCCGTCTGAGATTAAATATATTTTTCTTTACTACTACTATTTATTTTCCACGCATGCCCTATTTCTCTACCTTTTCTAGGTTGTGGAATAGACGATCTATGATAGCCTGTCTATGAGTCATGAAATAAGACAATTTAAATCGCAAACAAAAACGAGAACTAACTACGAGAGAAAATCTATTCTTACAAATCCTCCCCTAAACTATCATCCAATAGCATGATTAGGCGAACGGGAGATTGATATCTTGACGATCCCGAAACCCGCTGTACTAATTGATAACAATTAGATTTGAAAAGTGGCACAACTATTTTAGAATGTAATAAAGTAGAGGACAGGTGGTAGATGGATGCATATTGCGATATTATAATGGTTTAGATGTTCATTTCAATCCTCCCATATTGAAGCCCTTGTGGGGTGATTTCAAATCAATGGACGGAAATGTCTGAAACCGGTTGTTCATTCAAGGGTGAGAAAGGTCTTAGCAATATTCAACTACCGTCAGGAGGTCTATATATTTGCAATGAATTCCAAACTCTCTCTTTGACTTCTCAAATTATCTTCGCATCAACTTGCAACACAATTCTAGACACCACTATGTCATCCTATTTCATAATCAGTACATCTCGCAGTCTCGGCCTTAACCTCACTCGTCAACTCGCCGCGCTTTCCTCCACAGAACTTTCCAAGATTTTTGCAACAATTCAGAAAGACGCAGCTTCACTCCAAGAGCTAGCATTCAAGTCACCCAACAGAATAGTAAGCATCAAACTCGACGTCACTAGCGAGATATCTATCAAACATGCCGTTTCCCAACTAGAAAATGAGGCATATTGGAAAGGCCTGAATATTTTGATCAATGATGCCGAGATTTCCAAGCATGCTCTGAAACAGCATCAATGTGAGATCTCACGATCATCGAAATGCATTCGTAAGGCAACTCGATTTTAATTTTCGCTAATCCTAACGCACACAGGGGAAATCTTACGGAAAGTCTCACCACGAACATCCTTGGTGTCCACTGGGTCACTCAATCATTTCTATCACTTCTTTAAAAGGAAATGCAAAGAAAGCCCAAACTTGCAAACATATTAAACCCTTCCTTAGCCCATAATATTAACCGAATCTGTCCATAATCTAAAAATTAAATTCCACCTCACCTAGCGTTCAATAACTCAGCAATTCCCCTCTTCACGACCTCTCAATCACCTCCCTTTCCCCCGCAATCTTACTATCCCCAAGACTCACTCCAATCTCTTTTACTAGCAACCATCCTGGAAACAACGCTAACCCCCAAAGACCAAAGTTGAGATATACACCCCCGATATCACCCATCACTTTAACACTGTTCAAACCGTACTATATATTTTGTTAGTTACAACACAATATAGATGAGAATTTTCAAAATGACAAGGGCGAACTTACACTAACAGCTTGAACAGCTGATTCGGTTCCTCGAAGTAGTGCTGCGATTCTTACTACTTCTTCGGGCGTTTTGGCGAGGGTTCCCACGAGGAAGTATCTAATTGTTGTTAGTGTTTAGTTATCTAGAAGTGTTTTTGTATGGATCGAATGTCAAGTTGAGTCTGTAGAAGAAACTCACAAGAATAGATAATTGAGTTGAAACCCAGAGACCCATCCTAAAAACAATAGGAAGGTTCTGACAAACGCTCCGTCATCCGTCCAATCATATACTGGTAGCGGATTCTGTCCCCAATAGTTTGTGACCAGAACAGTTCCCCATATCCACCATACCTACAATACAGGAATCAGTAACAAGATACTCGAAATCAAAGAGCGGATGTTACTTACACCCTGCAATCCTAAGATAACAATAAAAGCCCACCTCGCTCTCTTCTTCAAAGACCACTTCTCCCGATCCAAGAATGCACCCAATAAATTACCAGATATTATCGCCACAATACCCGAAAGAAACGAGCCTAATGCTCTTCCTCTAACACTAAGCCAAACAGATTCGTACGTAAACATAACCGCCTCACTATAAACACCTTGCGCGATAACCGGCACCAACAACAAAAAATGTTTACTGATAAACAATTTTGATGTAAGTTTTATTTCTCTCCAGCTTGATTCGGAAATGCGGAGATTAGGTATTACACCATCAGTTCGCTGAACCTTGTCAGGTGGTGTGAGGAGAAGTGCTGCTAAGGGTCCGAGGGCTTGTAGAGCAATGAACACGAGATATACATCATAGGATACCTTTCCTTTGCCCGAATTATCCGCATTAAGAGCCAGATTAATCACGCCTCCAAGTACCTGTCCGGCAACACGGAAACTCAACCACAGTCCCAGAAATCTTCCCTGATTTTCTGGCTCCGGATAACTCAGCGCGATTGCTGCTTCAGCCATCCAGAACACACCTGCGGAAATACCGCAGAGGGCGGCACCGAGAAGTACAAGCCATTCGTTGCCATATCGATTATTGCAGTAGAGACCAGCGGCATAAGGGGCATAGCCAATAGTGCCGAAAATGAGAGCGGCCTTGATACCGATATATTTAACGAGAACAGAGGAGAAGAAACAAGATAGTACCATCAGGCAGAAAGTGAGAGCATTGGCGGCATTGACTAGATGAGGAGATTCTTCGCCGCCGGCACCGAGACTATTCATGGCGCCCCAGATACCTGGGGCCAGGAAGTTACAGATTCCAAGAATTATGGAATTGTAGAGGGTGGAACGGTACCATTTTACTGTTCTCCTGTCAGCTTTTTACACACAGCAAAAGAAATATAAGAAGAGGAAATAAGACCCACCTAGTTTCTTTTCCCTGACTATAGGTAGAGCTTCATTATCCGAAGACAACGAAGTATCGAGTGCTCCTGATTTATCCGACGCCATGATTCTCAATGAAGTGGAAAATGAGTCAAACCTCGCAAGATAGATGTAAAGAGTTGATACTGGGGTCCTAGACCATTTATTTATCCAAGATTTTCTCAGATATGTATGCACGGTACTCATGTTGAAGTCAAAATTCGGTACACATGTATTTCCCGCCTCGGTTACATGGCGTGACGAGCACGGAATAGAAACCTTGTCATGACGAACATCATACTTTAACTAATGATGCATTGGAGGGGTTTGTCAAACGATAAGCAGATGCGCTTGTCTTCATTTTCCTATCAGACCCGTCGGGAAAATGGGTTCATCCTTTTTGCGAGGCTTTTTTAGATTGAATTCATCTAGACCCCTCTTTTGGAAAGAAAATTCAAGCCTCGAACTTCCTGGTCTCAACCAAATTGCTGGGTTTCATCAGGAGCTGGGAGTTATTGGGAATTCAGAATTGGCATTTTTAGAACCCGAAAAGTTGAGCAGCAGTTTTAAGTGTCCAACTGGCCCTTGGCATGTTGCGAAGTTTGTGGCATAAAACTTGTATGATATTAAGAAATCGATTTC